AGACTCAGCGGCCGAGACGTGGGTTTATGTTGGAGAGTGACGGGCCGAGGGGTCGAACTGACTTTTTTTTCGTTTTTGGCTGCTTACTCTCAAGTGCCTTGTTATTTCAGAGCGAATGGATGTTTGATCATTTGATGAAAGGATACGTAAACGAAAGCGTTTTGCAGTACGGCTGATCGTTGACGATTGTAAAATTGAAAAGCAATCTACCGTGGGCTCGTTCAATGAAAAATTTCCTTAACCTCAGCGTTTACGATCCACGGCTTGGATACTAATCGCTGTGTAAAGACCTTCCGCGTGGTTTCTGCGTCATTTCATCCGCAAATTACTTGCGAATTGGAAACCTATCTTCAACTTAATCGATTGAAAATATAGCCTCTCATTGTCAGTTTCATACCTTTCGTTACGTTCATTAGTGTAAAAAAAAAGAAAAAAAATATTTTCCAATGGATTCTCCCTTCTTCGTTCATAATGATACAGAGTTATATTTTGTGTGTAAATTATTTGCAGAGTATTGACTTTAAGTTGATCAATCGAGACTCGCGCCTAAATATTAGTTTTATCTTTAGTAACGTTGATTAGCATAAATAAAAGAAAACGTAAGGGCCGCTTTTGATTGAATTTTTTCATGGTGTAACCGTATAATAGTTGAGAGATCTAGAATAAAAATAATTGTGTGTATGCCAACATGTACGTCTCATATAATAGCAAATGATACCACGTACCGGTTCAGTTCCGACATAGCTCCGCAACGAAGACTAAGAGAAGCCGGAATTCTTCCGACGAGAGATGATCACTGACTTTACCCGGTGTACTTGTATGCTCTTACGTTAACATTTATTTATGGGCCTGCGTTTTTTTTACACTAAATCTTATTCTAATGAAATATTATTTGTGTGAAATATAAATGCGGGCTGGATGAATTTTCTATGTCTCTTCCAAAAAATTGCAGTCGATGTGGATCAACAATTCTACAAAAAATGTAAGCACACCATTCAGCGAAAACTCGACGAGCGATAGTAAACAAAGCATTGAAAATTTTTAGCATGCGAACGAAAATAAAATAAAAAAAAAAAAAATTTCCGGAGACTACAATGCACGTCAATGAGGATTGTCTAAGCAAATTATACGCAATACAGCGGAGAAGATAAAAGTATAAACACGAGAAGACGAAGCAGAGCGGCAAGCCCATAGGTCAACCCGTTCACGCATTATGAATGACAATTTTTCAAAGCAAAAGGGCGGCTTTGCTCTCACGCCATATATCCTTTCTTTCGACGCGTGTGCAAAAGCGCGCGATTGTTTGCTTCCTCGGAAAACTTGGGCTTCTCACCGCGCAACAGTTCTGCGGACTGCGTGGAGAAAATGGCTTGGGTACGCTTGCTTCGCGCTTTGTTGTTTCGACACTACGCGCGCGAGTCAAAAATGCCCTTTCACCGATCGCTAAAATCGCACAATTTTTTTCGTGCCTGTTTTTCACGCTCGAAAGTGCGGCCTGTACACTTTTTACTCGTGTACGCTCCGAGTGTCGATGCCTGTAACTGTGAATTCAAAAAGTTTCATTTTTGTTTCTTCAAGCATTTACCGTTTCACGCGGACTATTTTTTATGTGAGCTATCTTTTCTTCTCTTTCGCCAAGTTTCAGCATACAGATGCTTTCTCATAAATAAATGTTTTTTTTTCTCTACTCGAGGAGAATGACAAATCGATTATAAACATTTGCCGTGAGATATCAGAGAGCGACCGTTGAAAAAATTGATAGCCAGTTCCGTGACAAATCGCTACGAGTTATGTAGCAATTGCAGAAAAGCTGCAGCACTTTCATGCTCGAGTGATATAAAAATACTGAAAAAGACACGGTGCACGCGCTCGCGCGCGAAACATCAAACAGCCGGAGAAAGAGAGAGGGGGAGGGGATAGAAATGGGCCTCACGTGCGAGAACCAGCTGGGGCCTTTTACTCAGTCGAACGCCGCGTGTCAAGCCGCGCGGTTGTCTATGTTCCGTTTTTTCATACGCACGTTCAGTGATTTTGGTGCGCTTCTTTTATTTTTTTTTTGTGACTTGTGGTGATAGGATTTATCTTCGATTGTAAAATTAAAGAATAACGTGAGTGTCAATCTCAAAATTTATACCAGTGCTTTTTGCAGATGTATCCTTGGTCAATGGCGTTGTGAAAACCAAGCATGGCAATCGTGTATATGCGTCCGCGATACAAAGGCCGCGACCCTTTGACCTTCTCTCTCTTCAGTTCTCAGATATATTACAACTGTACGTCCGTCAACTTGACACTTTTTGTTTTACTCTTACGGGAACGGAGGAAAAAAGGTGTCGCGTAGCGGTAAACATCTTTTGCCTCTGCTGTCGGGCTGAACTTTACCCATAAAGCGGTGAATTTTCGCGTGCACGGCTTTTGTTTCGAGTGAACGGGAAAAAAATTACCTTACCAACTTTGAGGATTTTTCACTTTTAGTACTTTTGGTGGAGGGCTTTTTCTTTTTTTCTTCTTTGTTAGCCTAGTTTTACAATTATCGATTCCAATGTGATCTCTTGCACACGTGTTTGAAATTCTCCATTACATGAGTGATATAGCTTCGGAAGTACCTGTCATGAGACGTTAATTTTGCATATACCCCTCGACACGCAAAATTAAGTATTCAAAGTTCCGTAAAACGAAGCTACGTGCAGCAACAACAAACTTTCGTACAATATAATGTGGCACACAAAGGAAAGTCGCGTTGTAATGTAGGCAGACTTTTGAGCTATTTTCTTTACGCCGATATACCGCGAAAGAGCCTGTGGAGGTCCGTAATAACCAACCCAGAAAATGTGTACCCTTACAATGGGATCATTACACGGGAGATTGGCTATGCACGGTTTAAGACGCGCGCATACTGTTATTGAAAGCAAACCATCCAAGGCGGTAGCGTTTAGAAACGCTGCGAGGCATCAATGCGCATATGATTTCTTATATAGTGTTGTCGCGCGCCGCAGGTTGTTCAACAAATCGTTCCGAGTAGAAAGTTTGCCATGGATTGTCCCATTGTTTTCGTTAATGGAAAGAAAATGATCCACTTTTGTGTGCGTGTGTGTGCGTTTGTTTTTCAGTTCAAGATCGGTAATTAAATTTACGATGGAAAAAAATATATTTACAATTTTTTTTAATCGTCAAGAACATATTTAATTAGTAGGCATTGCACAGCCATTGATACTGAATCATAAAAAAACCGAGCTTTTTTATGAAAAGATGACACGAATGACATTGTAAAACGATGGTTTTCCAGGATGTGATTTTTATTGCGCATCATTGACAAGCACAATGAGTTTGATTATCGAGACAGCAACGAAGTGTCACTCCAAAAATTCCGTCTTTAAAATTGCGTAACGCTCTCGCCGTGGGTTTCTCACGCGCTCCGACAGATAAATCGATCCGCGTTGCGATTGCAAAACGCTGACCTTTCTTTGTCACTAATAAAGAGTTTAGAAGTGAAGTGCGAGTAAACGACAAAAGAGAATTCGTGCGACAATCCGAACGGCCTGAGTTTTGCCACATCGAGCCCGTCCTTCGCCGCCTATTGCCAAAACACCGTCGTCCGTCCGCGCGCACCAGGGGGCAACGCGCCAGGAAAATCGGCGGCACGCGCGCGCAGTTTAATCCTAATTAACGCGATTTCACCACTCTCGATATAGCTTCGCGGAAAGCAAGCCATTAACGTCGCTACTGCATGCTGCTTTCTCTCGCGATATCGGAGCGCATCCTCCGAAGAGTCCGGGCTATTATGTGCCTTTTTTCGCCATTTTTAATTGGCTTTATACTCGTGCTTAATGCTTGTCTTACTAGCTTTCTTTGCGTTGTTGGCAATGTTTGCTCGTAATGGTACTGAGCGAAGCCGACCGGTTTTTGGGTATTGTTTGTCCAGGAGAAAATAAAATCCAACGTTTCTTGCAAGTTTGGTGAATAGTTTGTCGGACAACGAAAATTTCACAGCCTCCGCACTGGCGGAGAGAGAGTTAATTTGCAGATATTGAAATGAATTTTATGAAAGAAGCTTCTTATCTTGTTATTTTATTCCCAGAAATATTACACGGAAAAAATCGATCGACAGGATGGTTATAATAAAATTTGGAAAAGCCTGTCGGCCGAATGTTAATTATAGAACGCTTCGAACTTCATTCTCCATTACAAACGTCAGTATGAAGCCAGAAGCAGTCACTCAAGCTCACTATTTTTCAAAAAAGATTTACGAGCGATATTTGGTTCAAAGTTTCGCGGAAGCAACAAATATTTAATGGCTTATGCAAACTTACGGAAAGAGCGAACTTTGCGTCGAAGATGCTTCTTTGAAAACGAAGAAGCACAATAAGTTCGTTAATTAGCAAAGCTCCTCGCGAAAATGCCGCGAGCGCACAATGGACCAAGCTAACGAGGTGCCTATCTCGGGCGAGAAAAGGCCGTAATAAGTCGCTTTTAACGCTCTATACGCGAGTTGGCTGTGTAGTTTCTCAATGGGCAAATCCGACGGGCGAAACAAGTCCGATTATTAATTTTACTGCGCGCGACGTCTTATACTATATAAGGCTAATTGGACTACTGCACTCTATTGCCAAGTCGAGAAAACTGACGATGACGATTGCTCGAGAAAGAATAACTGTTGATTTACCGTTGTCTCTTCTCAATCGTAGACCTGTAATGAAAATAGAATGTAAATTTTCGGTGAGCTTTTTGCCACGCCCGAAAAATATATCAAGTACCGTTGCGTCATTACGATAAAAACAGTTAAGAGATGTGCTACGTCACTCATAATTGATTCTCTCCATCGTTATCCTTTAATGTTTCAGGCGCTGAAGGCAATTTGGACGTTGAGAAGGATAGCAGGAGGCGCTAATCGCGCCGCGCCGAGAACGACTTTTTCACCAGTTGGACTGTTTTTTTCTTTGCGACGCAGCGGCAACAAGAAAAAGAGATGCCGAGTGCGCTGTTGTTCTGTGAATAGTGATTTTTCTTTGATGTTGTTGCGTATTCTCGGGAGCTGCAGGCAGATTTTATTCGGCAAGAAGACAAGTGGGTGAAGATGGTCGCGATGGAACACAAGAGGAAGACTTCCTGGGATTCCAAGGTCAGTGTGAAATTTACTGTAATGCCTGTGTGAGTTAACAATTTATCTGGCGCTATAATGTTAAACTATCTTTAATTTTCGAGGACATGGTTGTGGACATTGGCCTACTTTCTTGAAAGTATCGCGAACAAATCCCAAAAAACTTTACAATTTCGTAAGAATTTTGAAAAGTTAAAGATTTTCAAGATCCTTTGCAAGCCTCCTTTCCAAACTTCTCCGGAATTTCAGGCTTAATGAAGACAGACTTGGAAGACTTTTGTCCATTCGAAATGATCTTTAAGTGAAATTTAAATTTGAATAAATTTTAGGAGTTTAGTTTCACCTAATACTCGAACCATCTTGCAAACCATATAAATTTCACCCATATAACTTATACGATAATAAGAGAGTAAAAAAATTGTATTTTTGCTAATAACGCCGAGTGAATGTTCATGAAAGGTCTTAAAATTTGGATTAGTTGAATTCCAGTTGCTTGAAACTTTATACTAAAATCTCTACTCATCTTAGACTTATATATTATCAAATATATTATTATAATAAGGAAACCTAGCTGTATGGCAACTCTGCACAATTTTTATCGATGAACAAGTTCCGTGAGATCTTAACAACTTTTAGTATTTCTATTTTCAGTTGAGATCGAAAAAACCTACTGCACATAAATCTGATTCACACAAAATGGCACAGGTCAACATAAAAGTATCTACGCGATGTGCCGCGTCGTTAAACTTTGACATAAAAAAATTGCTATCGTTTCTTTCAACGTTTCTGGTACATTCGTAACGGCATCCCCGAGCAGAGATTATAGAAATACTTCTCTGCCAGAGAGCGCTTAAAATCGCAACAGAAGCAGAAAAAAGCTCGAAATCTGTACGTGAAAGGTGAAGCCGGTAAAGATATGACCGCTCGCGTGCTGCTGAGAGGCGAAGGCTGATTTTCGACGAGAGAATGTCTGGATCACTGGAATTGAATGTAGTAACCCGATTTCAAATCCCAAGACTGGCAGTAGTAGTTTTGGTCGTGATCTTGATATGCTGGTATGTCGTGTATTATTCCAGCTCGACTGTCTCACGCGTTCATATTTACTATAGAAATATGCCATCATAACCCTATGCTCTTTTCTTTGTAATGTGATAAAGCTCTCTTGGGAGGGAGTTGAGATTAATGCCAATTATGGCTTTTGACTGAGAGCTTCTTTTCAAAACAACAAGTATAATTTTGAAGGAAGTTTTCCGTGAATTATAATTGAATACTGCTAGTTTTCATTCATTAAATGGATTAATTTACTCGGCCCCTTCCAAGATATTAGAAATTCAAATGCCAAATTCGAAATATATTAGGATTTGAAAGAAAGAACAGTAATTTTATAAATGAATCATTTTGTACATCACGAAATTTCGTATAAACTTTATCGTAAAATTGTTTTTTGATTATGTAAAATATTTTCTTTGGTACATTTGAATTAGCTCATTTAAATTATTTGCACGTTATTCTTCGCTTTAGTTTGTAATAATTACTTCCTCCAGTAATCGTATGAAGCTCGCTGGACGATGTACGTTTAGGGAAACATTTAAAAAACACGATAATAAAACGAGCGAACGGTAAAAAAAAAAACGACAACTAAGTATCGGGGAAGTTTGGAATCCCGGAAAAGCGACTTCAAACAAAACAGATCTCTCAAACTACAGGCAAAGTGACGTTTTACCTTAATCCCCGCACTCTCAACTCATTATCCAACTCTCGTCTAGTCAGGACAGATAGAAAATGCAAGCTAAGCCAGTGCACTTATCAAGTCCCTACTACTACTATTACTACTACTACAACTCGCTTCGCGCGTATACTGCTTTCGCGAGCTCGCGGATCGATAGCGAACGCTTGCGCGCACGAAAATTTATCCCGGCGCCAAAAGTTCGTGACTTGCCACTTTCACTGCGCGCAGAGCGCACCGCGCGAAATTGAGATTTCATGTGTATGTATATACGCGCGGGTAGGTTACGTGAGAAAAACGACGGGGGTGTCGAGTTTCTTGTACGCGATTCAAAATGGAAATTAGATGAAAGTCGTTTTAGTGCGAGATTTGTTTGATGTCAATAGGATGACTTTGTTTTGTCTGTTTTTGGTGAGAGTAAAAGTTTCTTTAACGCAGATTATCGAGTGCAAACTAATGGACGTTTTGCTCGCAGATCTGATTAATGTATGATTAATGGATGATCCTTTCAAAATTCTCGTACTGTTATTCTACCTCTGAATTAATTATAAAATTATGATAATTAATTAAGTTTAATATACTAGAATGGTACTTTTCTATTTATCGATTCATTCTTGTTGAAGCTTAATTTTTAATGAGAGAAAAGTAAAAAGCACCTTAGTTAATTAAGTATAATAAAAGAAACAGTAATTCACTTCCTCAAGTTGTTTCCAAAGTCACAAAAAAGACAGCACGTGATAGCATTGGAAAGTTTGACGAAATGAAATTGTCATTGCTTTGGGAATGTTAAACACCGTCTGACAAAGCAAATCTCACGATCACCCGAAAGAAAAAGTCAATTTCCAGTGGTTTCTTATATAAAGACTTGATGCTAGAGGTTGATGATGATTAACAACTTTGTCTCCGTAACCTCGAATTTTCACTTTACTATTATCCGGCGTACAAATAATGAATTTTACCGGTGCGAAACTTTATATAACGAATTTCTAAATTGAATTACTCTGTTTATGAGAAAATAATGTTTTACCCTGTAAAAATGTCAAGTGTATCAACAGACTTGAACTCTCGTTATCAAGTTAGTAGAAAGAAAAGAAAGCTAAGCTAAAAAGTACACGCGCCAGTCTAATAGTTTTACAATGAGCTCCAATGCATTAAAATCTTATCAACATTGCAAAAGTTCAAGATTACTTGCGAATACTCAAAACAGTCGTTAACGAGAAAATAGTAAAAGAGACAAAAGACGAAAAATGCACCCTCTGAGAATGAGATAATGAGTATGCAACACATACGTGTCAGTTTATGTTCTCACGATGATGCCTATCTTGTAGCCCGAATTTCGCTTTCCGGAGTCTCTAAAGTGAGAAGTATCTCGTACTGATGTCTATCTAGGATGAAAATTCACCTGATGCTATTGTCCAACGAAAAATCTCCATTGTTGCGAGGAAAGATGATCGAATACGATTCCTTTCGGTTAATTAAGAGACGAGGAGCTGTCTTTCATTTTTTTTCTTGTAATATGCTAATATCCAAGTGATGAGTTGTCTGTTGAGACATGTGGTTACCCGCGTGTATTTTTTCGTTTTTATTGCACTTTCAAATGGAGCGTATTTTTCTTTTGTTTGGAAGATGCAGTTCCGAGGCACGTCGCAATTTACTTTCACTTCGATGGGAAACTTCAAGTTTCTGTCGAGACTATTACAAGTGGGTTAAAATGTTCATAAATATTCAAAGTGTGCTTTAGGTAAACGTATTAATCATAAATTTATTTCTACAACTTTCTAAGAAAAAGACTTGTTTTAATAAAAAAACGAATTTATCGATTGATATGAATCAGAATTTCTATAGGTATAGAATACTTTTTACGTTTGAATAAAAAAATCAATACATAAAATGAAAAACTTATTAGTTGGTTACGAGATTGAACTTACACATTCATTATTGACAATATCTCATAAATTTTGAGTTGATATGCAATTTTATTTTTAAACTTGTTATATTCACAAACTGGTTTTATAAGTGCGTCAAATTAACGGAACAAACAGTTTATTTACGTTTATTTAAGTAAAAAGTGAAATCTTCAGGCTTCTAATAATTTTACTTAATTTTGATCAAATCCATTGCTTGCCTCATATTAACAATCACTGAGATATTTATCCATATTTTTTTAAACGTCTACACGATGCTGAAATTAGTTTCTCGCACTAGTATCGAAATGTATTATTTTAAACGAGTTGATTCGCACTATTATAACAAGACAACTATACCATTGCTATAGTAACCATGTTTCTTTTTAATTAAATCCATAAATTTCTCACCAAAGGCGATTGTGCTAAGGATATATATGCCAATATTCAAGGATGTTTTTTTGGTTATAAGTTGTGGGGGGAGGGGTTCTACTCGTGAAATATTCGGACTACTTTTACGTAGTCATTTGGTCGCTGCTACTAATATAAGTTCTTAGCCTTAGATCTATGGATTCTATTCACTGTCAAATTAAAAGTTAAACAAATTTTCTAAATAGTTGGAATCGTTTTAGGGGATTTTATTTCAGAACATCTAAGTTCATTAAAAAGTAACAAACAAATAAATAAGCTGATTATAAAATTACTAATTATTTTTTTGTAACTCAAATATCGTTACGGCAATAGTCTCGTACTATTATCTTATCTTATGCTTGTGCGAAAAATAAAATTACTTGTAGTATAAATATTCACGGAAACATACCACATTATCATTATTGGTATTTTGTTTAAAAATCATAATCTTTCTTAATTATATCATAAGCTTTCTCAGCAATTGCAGTAACAGGAATGTTGGTATGTCCACAAATTATATCTGGCATTACAGAAGCATCAACTATTCTAAGACCTTTCACACCAATAACCTGCAAATATTAATGTCATTAATAAAATATCAAGCAATCAAAGTATTTATAAAACGTTTTAGTAATTTTACTTTTAGTTGGGAATTTACAACTGAACTATTGTCATCTTCTCGACCCATCTTGCATGTTCCTACAGGATGATAAATTGTACCAGTATACGTTCTTGCAGCACACTCCCAATACTCATCTGAATCTTCTTTGTGATTATCACAGGGCAACGGAACTTCGTACATTTTTGAACCTTGTTCTTGAAACGCTTTAGTTTGGCTCAATTTAATTACCATTCTTATACCTTTCACCAAAACTTGAACATCTCGAGAATCTTCTAAATAATTGGGATAAATTTTAAGCTTATCAAATGGGTTATTGCTACTCAAAAGTATTTTCCCGCGACTATAAGGCTTTATCACGATTGGCCAAATCGTCCAAGAATTACCATTCGCTTCATTAGTAAACAATTGTTTCTGATATTCCTTATTTACTCCAAATGTTGTAGCAAACAAAGGATCTTTCAAACTACTGAATAAATTGAAAAGAAGTTCTAAATTAGGATAAGATTTGTTTGCATCGTCTACGTTGATAAATGCTATTCCACCAGAATTCAGTCCTAATGCCAGTGGTCCAGTTCTAGACTTTAGATAATTTTTTAACGCAGGATTTTTCGGATCGACTAAGCTTAAATTATTAGAATCAGTAAAATCATTCGCTTTGAAAGCTATTCCAGTATATCCAATGTGATCTATCAAATTTTCACCAACTGCAGCATCTTTAATCACGTCAATATTCATGTCACGTAAGTGCTTCGATGGTCCAATACCAGAAAGCATCAGAATTTGTGGAGAATTCACTGAACCAGCACATAGGATAATTTCTTTTTGTGCGCTAACCTCATAAACTTTACCATTTTTAGAATATCGTACACCGTATGCAGATTTTGTATGTTTATTTATCAAAATTTTATGCACATGGCTGTGTTGAGTTACAAAGAGATTTTTTCTGCCTTTAGCTAATCGAAGATATGCTCTATTGTTACTCCATCTTTCGCCTTCATATATCGCCGATTGATGATATGAAAAGCCTCGTTGTTCGAGACCGTTGTAATCAACTTCGGGATAATGCAATTCCTTACCTGCTTGAATAAATGCATCTGTTAATTTGCTTTTTTGTTGAGGACCACTTATATGTAATGGGCCATTTGTGCCGTGAAATGCACTATCTGCCGGTACATTTCTTTCGTAAAAATGCTCCATTTTCTGAAAATATTTCAGCATATTTCTGAAAGACCATGATTCGTCTCCTGTTGCGTTTGCCCATTGATCGTAATCTCTTTGATTACCTCTAGTTGCCAGCATGTAATTAATAGCGCTACTTCCTCCCATAACTTTACCTCTAGGCCAGTTACATTTGTGATTTTCCAATCCGAGACAATATCTATCAGAACTTTCAGTTTCATATTTCCAGTTTATATCATTGCTGTATTGAAGAGGAATAGCCATTCCCGGTATATCAATAATAGAATATTCTTTTCCACCGGCTTCGATTAATAAAACTGTTATATTTTTCATCTCACTGAGCCGTGAAGCAATAGTTGATCCAGCAGTTCCCGCTCCTATCACAACAAAGTCGTACTTGCTGTAATTTTTTGGAGTGGTATCTGATAGTTCATTCTTGTCAAATGGTAATGATTTACTGGAAAAATCCAATTTTCCTTTTGTTAATTTCTTTATGTTCTGCCGTAAAGACTGTTGTGAGCCCATAGGTGAATAAAAATTACTATTTGCCAATATGAAGTTAAATAAGTGCATCAAAGTTAACAGAATCATTTTAGTGCTAAATTGAAAAAATTAGAAAATCTTTAAGATCGATTATTAACTTAAACAGAAATAATGATGTATATTATTAGAGAGAAGTTGAAGTTACTTTACGCGCCGCTAAGTTTAAAATAAAGTTGTTTAGTACTACATATAATTACGTATTGATGATAACATTTTATCTAGTTATTAATTATTCCTGTTGATCCACCTGGAATAGCAAATAACTAGATAATATAATATCTTCACAAATGCGATAATGAAAGTTAAATTGTTCGACATAGTTATTACTCATCGTAATTTAAGATAACATGACATTGCACAATTTCGTTATTCATATTTATTTTTTTTTAATGATGAATTATATTATTGAAAAATATATTATTTATCACAGCTCACAAAGATTTATTATAAATTGTAATAGGTTCCAAAAGTTTTAATGATAAAATTAATTTGTTTTGACAATACAGTTAAATGAATCTATGTTTGCCTTGATGGAATCTGAAATTTTTTCTATATATATTTCTATATTTCTATATTCCGATAGCAATCATAAGTAGATTTGTATCTTCGGTAACTAGATTTGGCATGATAAATGCATCAACTACTCCTAATTTATTTATACCAATAATTTAAAATTGCAAATAGAAGAAATATTAAAGACTGATGCAATTATAATATTTATTAATCGTTTATGGAATCTCCATTTTAATTATAAAGAAACGTATTACTTTTCCACTCCATCTTACAGAGTCTCGTATAATAGTACATCCTTGTATAATAGATCACCTTTAAATATTGTTTGCTGTATATATAAAAAACCTCTTTGATCAATCCCATTGTAGTTTACTTCAGGATATCCTAATACTTTTCAAGCTTTTATGAAAGTGTCCGTGAATACTATCCGGTTAGGACAAGTAATGGAAACCATTCTGTAACTTCTTATCATACACTACATTATTTACTTGAAAATTTTCTAACTTTATGATATATTTTAACATAAATTTATACGACTACGATAGATCTCTAGATTCAGCGGCCCACTCGTTGCAGTCCTTTCGATTACCTCTAGTCTCCATCAGAAAATTGAGAACGTTGCTTCCTCCTTTAACTTTTCCTCTTGGCCATATACACTAATTATTTGTCATGTCGAGGCAATAGTTATTCAAACGTTCCATCGTAAAATTTCAGTTAACCTTATCGCTGTTTTGCAAAGGAAAAAATATTGATGGTATGTCCATGAAAGAGTATTCCTTTCCGCCAGCTTCAATCAACAGAACCGTCGCGTTTCAAAAATAGTGAAATCGTACCAGGGCAGACAAATGAAAATAGATGCAAACAAAAAAGATAGAACAGGAATTACAAAAGAATCAAATGAAGAGAAGCGAAATAATAGTGAAAGTGATATGGAAATTGAGCGTAATAAAAAAGAAAAACAACAGGACTAAGAAATAAGAGTGATGGTACCAGTGAACTATCAATACTACAGAAAGTACGTCCGATTATTGGTAAAACAGAAAACAGACATAGGCACATGGAAACAGAGTAGAAGAAGCGGTATACAGAAAGAATAACTGATAAAAGTCATTAAAAAGTACAAAAGAGTATTAAAGGAGAAAAATAATTAAGAAAAGGCAGTATGCATCACAATTAAATACAAAAAATAGCCTACTGAGAGTAAAAAGATACAATGAAAAGCTGTCGGGAAAATTTCATGAGCATGACAAAGACGAGTACAAGAAATGAAGCAGAATTAAAATTAAGCATGGAACAACTGGAATAGAAAATCGAAAAGACATAGAAAATCTGAATGAAGAGCTGAGAGCAAAGAACAACAAGCAAAATCTACAGGAAGTAAAAATAAGAAATAGAGTAGCCAAAATGACACCGAGAATGAAAAGAACACTCGAATAGAGCAAAATACGAAATCGGATGCTCTGAGCAATGGCGTGAAAGAAAAAAATGCTACCATAAACTATATATTTATAAAAATTTATTATTTTGTTTATTTATTTAAATATATATTCATGAAAAGAGTGACAACATGCAGGAAAGATAGGAAAAAGAAATAAGAAATCTTCTCTAAAAAATTTTATAAAACAGTGAATGGGGACAAGGAAAATAATATCGCTTAAAATAAAAATAATAGTAAGATTAAACCGTCTGCTGAGTAAAATAAAAATCCTTACAATACATAACAGACTTTAAAAACATGGGAATAGAGGTGAAAGATAGTGCGCGCGCGCGCGCGCGCGCGTGCGTGTGCGTGTGTGCGTGTGTGTGTGTGTGTGTGTGTGTGTGTGTGTGTGTGTGTGTGTGTGTGTGTGTGTGTGTGTGTGTGTGTGTGTGTGTGTGTGTAGAAAACTAGAAGTAAAGGAATAAGTAAACAAGGGAGGGGAGGAATAACAAAATTATTTTGTCAAAACCTAAACGATGATAATGAATAACGATGTTTAGGTATCAACGAGCAACAACGAATACACAACGATGAACAACGGCGAGTAGACAGCGACAAGCAGTGACAAGCAGACGACAATGATGTCAAATAAATGTAATATTTGCTAGCTTTGCCGGAAACATTTTTACTATTACATTTACTTTTTATATTATTATAGTTTTGATATAATAAAATTGAAAATCATATGTATGTCTGTTAGAAAAGGTATTATAACCCATATTCTTTCTTAATCATATCCGCAGCTTTTTCTCCAATAGCAATCGCTGGAATGTTGGGATGTCCGCTAATAATGTTTGGCATAATGGATGCATCAGCTACCCTCAGATTGTTAATACCAATAACCTATAAATATGAATAATAAAAAGTTTAAAGTCAGATATAAATATATTACTTATCAATATTTATTTTAATCTTACTTTCAACTTGGAATTGACAACAGAACTCTTACTATTTTCTCGACCCATCTTACACGTTCCTGAATAATGATATACAGTATTTGTGTACGTTCTCAATAAGCACTCCCAATACTGATCTGAATCTGATTCGTAATCTGGACAAGACGACGGAATTCGATACAACTGAGTGCCAAGTTTTTGGAATGCACGAGTTTTACTTAACTCAATTACTGCTCTTATTCCTTTAATTAGTAATCTGGTATCTTCAGCATCTGATAAGTAATTAGCATGTATGATAGGTTTGTCAAATGGATCGATACTTCTCAAAAGAATCTGTCCACTGCTTCGAGGTCTCAGTATCATTGGCCATATTGACCACGCTGAATGAGGAAACTGATCTTCATTCATTTGATTTCTTAAATTTTCTTTTATTCCCGTCTCTGAACTAAATGCCTTTATTCCTTGATTAGCCATGAATATCATTTCTATATTAGGATAAAGACTTGAAGGATTGTCTACATTCATATAAGACATTCCGCCTTGACTCAAAGCAATCGCTAATGGTCCCGTTTTGAAATTTACATAGTCTTTTATCGCAGAACTGTTAGGATCAAGAAAATTTGGTACGTCTGTACCTGCTGATTCATTCACTTTAAAAATTAAACCACTACAGGCAATGTGATCTTGCAAATTTTTACCAACTGGCGCATCTTTAATGACTCTGATATTCAATTTTCGTAAATGTTTTTGGGGCCCGATTCCCGATAACATAAGAATTTTCGGGGAATCTATCGCTCCAGCGTTCAAAATTATTTCCTTTCTAGCTCTAACTTCATAAATTTTTTTGTGCTTGGAGTATTGAACTCCATACGCATTTTTAGATGCACCGTCTATCAGAATTTTGTGTGCCTGGCTATGTTGCGTAACAATAAGATTATTCCTTGATTTTGCTGGTCGGAGATACGCCCGGTTCGAGCTCCATCTTTCACCCTTAAATATTGTCGACTGTATATATGAAAAGCCTCTTTGTTCAATCCCATTGTAGTCTACTTCAGAATATCCTAGCTCTTTTCCAGCTTCTATGAAAGCGTCCGTAAGCACTATCCGGTCAGGACTAGTAATAGGAACTGGTCCATTTTTATTATGTAATTTCATATCATATTCAATATTGTTCACCCTAAAACTTTCTAACTTTTTAAAGTATTTTAACATATATCTGTAAGACCATGAGGTATCTCCAGATTCAGCAGCCCACTCATCGTAGTCTCTTCGATTTCCTCTAGTCGCCATCATCAAATTGAGAACACTACTTCCTCCCATAACTTTTCCTCTTGGCCATACACACTGATTATTCGTCATGCCAAGGCAATACTTGTTCGAACTTTCCGTCGTGTAGTTCCAGTTAACTTCATCGCTCTTTTGCAAGGCAAAAGCAATCGAAGGTATATCCATGAAGGAGTATTCCTTTCCACCTGCTTCAATTAACAGAACCGTCACGTTTTTTGCTTCACTGATTCGTGACGCAAGTGTAGCTCCTGCACTTCCTGCACCAATGACAATGAAGTCGTATTCACTGTAATTTTTTGGAGTCGAATCTGACAATTCATCTTCTTCAAATGGTAACGTTTCATCTGAAAATTTGAGTTTTCCTTGGTATGCGTCCACTATATTTTGACGTAGAGACTTTTCTGTTCCCATATAAGAACATGATGTACTATGAATAAAAATAGACAAGTGTGTAGCGAATATGAAAAATAGTTTCGCCATTTTTATTTTTCGAATCAACTCCATATGGCATAAAATAACTTCTTACGATCCGTTTTCACACAAACGTATATCACTACTGATTGACACGGAAAGTTGTACGATAACACAGCTGAACTTATCTTTTGCATGCAGGTTTAATCTTGTCGATAAAAAAATTTTGTACGCTTATATCGATTTGTCAATGAGAAATATTCTGATCTGTTAGCTATGAAAATCTCCTTGAACTCATTCAATACTAATTGTCATTAAAATCTGAAATATAAGCGTCAAGAATATAATTCGCTTACTGCTAATGAACTGTGAAACAAAGTTTAATAGACCGCAAAATTGAATTATTACTTATGTCTGAAGGTTAAATTATGTTTGAAATATTGGTAATAAGCTCATTCAAACGTTAACGATATGTTTATGATAAGCATTTATCTTTCAACTTATAAACCATCACCTACGTTT